TTTCATTAAAAACGACGTTTTGTCTTGAACTCCTTTAAGAGTTCTTTCCTGCTGTAAGAAGAAATGCACTTGGAGCTTAATCGCTGGAAAAGCAGGGTGGGTTTGGTTGATCTTTGCGCCGCTGTCTTAGTGCGAGAGCGAGGCAGAAGCACGCGAAGCTCTCTGCTTTGTACCAGTTTTGAGTTGACACACTGGAAAATAGGACTGGTTTGAGGTAATTATTTAGTGCATTGTATATGAAATGAATATGTGGGAGGATAGAAGGGAAATTATTTCCTCGTATATTGAATAGGAGTACTGAGCAGGATTCTTGCTAATTTTTCTGCTCTGTTAACATTGTCTTACCGTAGGACTACAATTCCCAGTGTTCTTTTCTCTTCACACAGCGCTGTGCTTTAACACCACAGGCAGCTGCATTAACATCGTGAGCGTAAGGTCTAATGCTTACTTCTGTGCTTAACTGTGAATCTGAGCCTGTGGTTTGACAATTCAAAGCACTTGGGGGAAATACCAGCTTCAGCGTTCCTGACCACTTCCCCAGCCTCTCGTCTCATCTCGCCATATCAGCCTGTTGTACCAACCTTCCAAGAGCAGTTTGAGTCGGTCGGTGGCAGGCGGGGTTAAAACTAACTCTTTTTCTGGTTACCTCCCCAATTCAGTTGCAGCCGGGCTCCGCAATCCTGCGTGCCCGTGCGGGGAGAGGGGAGGTGTGGTCATGGGCACAAGCATCTTGGGGGGGCCACAGGGCTGCTCCGGGGCTGCTGAAGGGTCTCTCGAGCTGCAGCGCTGGATGTGCCCGTCCATCTGTTTGCGAGCGGGGCTGCCGGATCAGGCCACTGTTACCTTCAGGGTGAACCCATGCAAGTTACAGGGCTGAACTGCTACAGCAGCCTTTCCCTCCCTTTAGGTGGTCCTGCTGCTCCTCCTCCTCTGCTGCACCCTGCCTTGCTCTAGTGCCTGCTGGATCGTTTGCTAAATTTGTTCAGTTAATTTTCTGCTGGTGTAATGATCTGCCTTTTTTTCTTCCTGTTGGGTTAACGAGTTAAATTGCTTCATAGAGGGGTCTAGAGAGCACCAGAACTGGCAGAAACGTTTGTGTGAGTTGGCAAGGGGGGCAGGAGGTTCTCCCTCTCCCAGAAGCAGCACACCATTAGTTTGTATCTGTGAAAGGTTTCTAACACTGGAGTTGTTGCGGTGATGTGGGGGAAATCGCACAGCCTTTTTGGGGTGCTTTGCTGTTAGCTTGCCTCAGCCGTTTATTTTGCCTCACTCCGAGAGGGCACCATAGTGGAGGGAGGTGGGGGCAAGGGGAGAAGGGGCAGCGCTTCTGTATGTTCGCTCCCTCTCTGCCCCTCACTTATCCTGTTGCTTTTGTGCCTGCATTGTAATTGGATTACTTTCCAAACTGATATGCAGAAATCATGTGGCTGCAAAAGAACTGGCAGAAGAGAGAAGGTGGGAACGTGCGGACTGACCTATCACGGAGGGACCAGAGCTGTGGCAGCCCCAGTTTTGGATCAGCATCCCGGGGCTGCGGTTCTGCAATAGTTTGAACTGACCTGAGGCAGTTTTGCCACGGTCTTGCACCTTCCCACGTGCCTCAGTTAATCCAGGGTCTGTGCTCAGGTAGTTCAGAGAAGTAACACTGCAGAAAAAGTAAATGTTTCTCGTGGCTTTACTTACTGAAACAGTCATGCTCGAGTCAGACAAAATCAAGAGGGCATTTCAAATCAAGTGGCTAAAGGTAGCATCTGCAGGGGTGGGGCAGCAGTAGCCCCTGCCTAGGTGGCTTTTATATGGTTGTGGAAACGCAGCCTGAACTCCAGAGTCTTTAACTGCTTTGGGACAACCCGACCTCTCTTTAAGATACAACTTTGGTTGCAGGGATTGCGGGCTCCCAGATCTTTTCATTTTTGTGGCCTCTTGTGGGTATAAAGACCTCTATTCTATGGCTAGTTTTGCTTTGTTTTGCTGTCATTAATAATAATTCATAGCGCAAAGTAAATCGTTGCGTTTCTGTTTGAAGTGAGCCTGTGCTTGCTGGCTTTGCACCCTTTGTGAGCCAGAAGCGTTCTGTGCCTCGTCTGGTTTAATGTAGTTGCCTGAGCTGTCAAAAATAGTGACTGAAATAGGGTTTGAGGCCGTTCTGAGAAACTCCTCAGAGCTGGGCGAGTTTTCCTTCTGCTTTGATTTTGCTAGGAGCCTTTTTTTAAAAAAAGAAAAAATTCTCAGAAACTTAATTTTTTTTCTAATTAGTTTTTTCTTTTTTTAATTCTTTGGATGTGGTGGTTGTGAAATCCTTTACAGCCCGGTGATCCTGTAGAAAAACTGATTTTGAAATTTTGGTTTCTGAAATTCAAAGGTCAATTGTTCTTTTACAGTTGCTAGTAATGAAACATTTATCTTTTCTCTTGGTACCACTAATTTGTCCAGAAAGCAGAGGGTATGATCACCCAGTCATAGGTGAAATGTTTTGTTGGTATCCTGCATCTGGTTTAGGCTACTATTTTGTTGAGGCAGACTTTCTGCAACTATAGTTCAAGAATATAATTCAAGAATTGCCGCTTTAGATGACTTGAGTTTAAGAAATTAAGACGCCACAGTTTAGAAGGATGTCCCTTGCCAGTCCATGTACTGGAGACCATGAGAAAGGGGAGGATGACCCTGCCTGTTAGGAAACCTTGTGATCCTAGTGTCTGCGCCTGTTTTCTGGAGAGTGGTGAGCAAAATCCACTGCTTCCGTTTAAAAGCTGATCTCTGGCCTTTAATAAACATTTATATAAACAAGCTGTGTTATGGTGGGTTAAAGTAAATGATACTTGACTTTCTTGTGGTCACTGGTATTTGTGAGCTTGTACGTTCCAGGATTTTATTGATTTGGTTTTGTGCAGCTTTTTTTCCGTACGGCAAGACTTTACTGAATTGATATCACAGATGAGAGTGCATAACTTGGGAGGCTCAGATGACTTTTGAGATGCAATTTTGTGGCCGTAGAATCTCTTTCCTCAAATTCATATAGCTTTAGTACGTTTCCCAGTGTAAAAGGATGTAGGCTTTTCGTATGCGTTATAAATATGAGCTGTAGTCTTTACTCAGTCCAGTAAGCACTTTTGAATATATTTGGCTGCATGGATATCTGTTATGAGCTATTTGTCAATATGTGCTTCAGTTCTTAATTGATACTTCTTAACGTTACTGAAATAACATGCTTTCTGAATGTTATTTTTAATAGGCTTAATAGATTTAGAACCTGATAAATGTAATCGATTTTTCATCTTAAGAGCGCCGTTGCAGTGAAATGCTAAATTACTAGATCAGAGGAGCAGAATGTGATTGATCTGTTTTTTGAAACTTGAGGAAATGGGCCTGTAGAACCGCAGTAATATAATAAAAAAGGGTTAAAACCAAAGCGTGGACACTTACATTGAAAGAAAAAAGGTTCCCCAGAAGCTTTCACTGTGCTAGTGAACTTAACAGGATAGATACACCTCAAGTCATAAGTGTCCCATGCCGTTGTGTAGTGTTTTGTAGTGGAAAAGCCCTTTAACAGGAATTTGAGGTATGAGTATATCCCAAGTAAAACTTTTTTTGTTGTTGAATAGGAAGATGAAGATGATCATCTCTTACTGTACTCCCTCCATTCCTGAAGGACTTGTCACTGCAAGCTTGGAGTAGAAAGTATTGAGGGATGGGTAGCAAATTTGCATCTGAAGATGTGATGAAGATCGGCTGATGGTGATGAGGGTGGCAGGAGGAAGGGTGATATTCACTATAAAAAGAATCATGTCTGTTGGTTCTGGCTCTCGAAACTGCTGGTTGAAAGGGAGGATTTGTGTGTTGGGAGAGCAGGAAGAGAGGCTGCAAGATACACACTTGCAGTCCGGAAGCTCTCTGGACACCTCTTATTATTTGGCCAGTATTAGCAAATAGAAGCTAACAGTAGATGGAGACAAAAGTTTCCTGCTTCTGCAAATGTGCTCAGTGTTTATATCTCAGACTGCTAATGTCAGATGAATAACGAATTTTTCATCAGAACTTTTTCTAGGCTTCACCAAGCGAGTTGCTTTTTGATTTACTGTGGGGAGGGCTTCTGTAGTCATCTATGTCAATAGTTTTTACAGCAAAAGCAAATGAAATGTCACTTCTTTCCTAAAATGGAGTGTGGTCTGAGTATTCTTACATGGCCTTCCCACGTTCATTCTTAGCTTTGCTGTCATAAATGCTTTCCTTGTCACTACTATGCTTGTTATGCAGGACTGTCTTAGTATAAATGCTGCTCACCCTCCTGAGGTTCAGACTTCGGCATGAAAGGTCCCTTGCTGTCCTCATGCAGAGCGCACCTTTCTGCAGCTGAAGTGTAGCTATCGTACATGGCAGTTGCCAGAAAGGCTGCCGTATGAGCGTCTTTCCTCCAGTTGCTGCGTGCTGGTATTCATCTACAACAGTGCGACTTCATGATAGGTTTTGTGTGCCTGCGGATGGCACACAAGGATGTTTGCACAATGCCACTTTGTTGTAGAATCAAAACAGGTTATAGATTTTATTAATTTGTGAGTATAATCTTACGTGAAAATGATCTGGTTTTGGAACACACAACAAACAGCTGTGTGTGTATGTATGTGTGTGTATATAGTTGTTCATTATCACTGCACAGTGTATGCATCTGTGTATATATATATAGAGAGAGAGAGAGAGGCATGCACGCACACGCGCACATATGTATGTGAAGGTACACAGACACACAGGTACATGCCTGTTGAGTTCTTGAGTTCGAGTTTTTCTTTTCTGAACAATTTATCAGCTTTAGAGTTCAGTCTTTGCTTCCAGATGTGGTAGTCAGCTATAGGACAATAGTCTCTCTGGGTGTTTGCGTCTACAGCAGTTCCCTGTGGCAGTGCTAATGAACAACTTTTTGTTGTTTCTAATGCAAACGCAGATCCCATTCTAATCTTTTTCCTTAAAAGCTATGCTTTGAAAATAGTTTCCCAGCTAGGGCTAATCATTTTTAATGTTTTGCCTCCATCAGGAATTGGAACTGAAAATATTCATCCACTTCTCCAAGCCTTTTGAAAAGTGACTAAATGCGACTGGGTCAGGTTGTCTGTGGGAATGAAGTGGCTGGGAGAATCCAAGAACATGGTGGTGAATGGCAGGAGAAGTGGAAGCAAGTCGTCTAATGACCACCCACAGAATCAGACCAAGTTGCAGCACACGGGAAAGGAGAACCCCAAGACTAGCAAAAATGGAGTTGAGAGAAGATCAAGCAGATGTATGCACTTATTTATGTGGCTTAATGTTGTGTGTGATTCATCTTGCCAGTGTTTAAAGGAGGAGTTTTTAAATTGGGAAGTCAGACTTTTATCTTGGCTTAATTCGTGAAGAAAGCTATGTTCTCAGCATATAGTTATCATCAGATAGATTAATTATGTTTATATGAGTTGTACTAACTCACTTAGGCATTTGGATCTGTTCAGTTTAGTTCAAAAGTGAAGTGAAAATCATTGCACGTAGATTTATTTTGAACCGGTCACGTGCAAAATACATCACTTGTACTAGCTGAGAACCAGTGTGGTTGGAAATAGATTACAGATAAGGTTTGAATTACTAGCCCAGTTGAATGCCTGTATAGACGTAAACCTCATTTTGAATGAAATCACCTATATCAGTAGCAGCTATGAAGCTGCTTTTAAGGAACATGGGTTTTAATTTTCGTTATTGATTGGGGGTGAAGGACTGAGAACAAAATCAGAGTAAATCTTTATTCAGATTTTGGAAAATCAAGTTCTGTATTTTCATGGCTTTATCTTGTTTATAGGTCTGAAATTTCAGGGGCGATCGTGACTAAACTGTGTACTCCGGATTTATTTGTATGGGGAGGACACAATTAATTAAACACTTTTTGAATGTTTAATAACCCATAGACATTTTAAAAATACTTTTTCCATTGGCTATCAAATTAACCAACAAATACACGAATGAAAAATTAACTGTGCCCCTACTTCTTCAGACAACTTATCCTCCTCTCTAAGTGTTTCATTCCCTGGCTCTCCCCGACCAGAAACGCAGATCGGCTTTATAGTATGTCCTAAGTGATATCTGATTTCTGCTCTTCTATTCGCAGGTAGCGGTGCTTCAGGATTTGAGGGCCAGAGTCGTTACGTGCCTTCCTCGGGAATGTCTGCCAAGGAACTGTGTGAAAACGATGACCTAGCAACTAGTTTGGTTCTTGATCCCTATTTAGGTTTTCAGACACACAAAATGAATACTAGGTAACTTGTCTTTATTCTTCTAGAAAAGAATTGATCATCTTATTGATGTAATCAGAGGACAGCTATGGAATTGCCTGCATGTTTACAAAAGTCTGAAAAAATGGCAGTTTGTGAGTAGCTTCAGCCTTTAAAATGGTGCTGCATTTGAGACTGGAACTCCGAGCCCTATAACAGCATGCGTTTGTAACTCTTTCATAGGTATTTCTATTAGCCATCCCATCAAATTTTGCTGTAGAATAGGATCTTAATAGATGCTGCTGTTTCCTAGCTTAAGCAGTTAACTATTAGTAAGATGTAAACCGTTAGCCATTTGAAACAATACTGCAAAGGCAGAAGTTAAGTGTTTGGGGAGTTTTCTGTTTATTTCATATGCCTGGGCTTTTTTTACCCTTATCACATCATAAGAAGGGCTTAACCTCCTAGGCACTTCAGTGTTGGTGCCACTTGATCTCAAGTTCATGTGGACCCATGCTGAAGGAATGCTACTCAGACATGTCTATATGCATTCATAAATTATGTGCGCGCTGGGAACCTGCTTGCCAAAATTGCATATACTTTTGCACTGCTATATAACAGTCTGAATGCTTGTGTCCTAAATTCAGCGGGGACTCGTGGTTTAGTTGTTGCATGCTTCTTCCTGGTTTACAGATATGCTACCAACTATAAGCATATTCTATAGATCTCTGTTAAGCTCTTATTTGTGAACAAGATCGGTATTGCTATGCTTAATGGGGAAGCTATATATAAATGGTAAGCTTCTAAGGACAAGAACTGTGTGCTAGTTACTGTAGAAATAAATGGGGGACCTTGATCTGAGCTAGGGTTTCCAGGCAGCACATCATGGGAAAGAGACTGCTTACCCCTTAAACTGTTGCCATGGCTATCTGTAAAGAAGAACAGTTTGCCTATGCAGCACAGTCACGTTACCAGAGTGTCAGTTCAGTAGATTTTGTAGGTATGTAACAAGCCGATTGCTTCAAAAATGACTGCTAAATTAATTGGGATTGTCATGTAAAATAAATGGCTGCTGGCATAACCTGACAGCATGACTTGCACGTGGAACTGTGGTCTTTATAACTGTAAAGACTTACTAAAAGAGATCTTTTTCCCTAGAGCGCAACGTCCATCTGTAAGAGGAATGCTTGCATTCTTCCTGTTGTCTCCATGCTGTTGGTTACAATAGCACGTTGTGCCCAAAACGGTGTCAAGATAGGTACTCTTACAGTTCCGTTAGCATAGTGACTTTGTATTTCCAGTAGTTAATTGAGCTAATTATATATGCTCAACAGCTTTTTTATTTTGTTGCATGAATGGTAGTCTACAGAAGTGCACATGTAGCTAGTTCTTTTGCTTTTTGCTAAGGAAATTGTGTATTCATTATTTAATAGTTGGAGAAGCTGCTTTCATAAATGTTATGTTTTCTGCCGATATGTTTTCAACAGTAAAATACTTTTTTAATTACTGATTTGAAACAAACGACTACACAAAGGCTATCATCATGTATTTCTTCCTTTCTCAGACTTGGAGAACAGTTACAGGCAGTCTTCAAGGACAATAGTTATTAATCTTGGAGCACTATGGGAAATGCTTAGGTGAGGCTTAAAAATTCTATCAGAAACGCATCTTCTTGACTCTTTCTTAATGTCCTGTTGAGAGAGTTTCTGTTGTTGCAATGAATTAAAATAAAGGCATCAGCATAGCTCTTGTTTATCTTGTTGATACAGTGATGACATCTGCTTATTATTGTAGCTGTGTAGCTTAGATCATCTTCCTTCCGTCTAGTAAGACGCAGTCTTTGTGGAAGTCCTGAGATTTATTGTTGCCGTATGACACTGCGGGGAGCGGGGTGGGGTGAAGCCAATGTGAAAAGACTAGACCAGCTCCGAAACATCAGGTGCTGGTACCCGAACGTGTGCCTGTAGTAGAAATTAAGATTTGTAGCTTATGTTTGGGTGTCTTCTGCTTCGGTATGGCAAAGCCATATAAATACTAGTTTGTATGTTAAGGTGAGCTTAAAACAAAACATCCGCTCATGGCAGCAAGCTCTATTTCCTGTTCCCTTTTTCTAATTTGTTTGAAGACATACTGTAGAAATTACTGTGTGCCAAGCATTCTGTTCAGCCGTTGGAAATGCATATGAGGTTTGTATTCTTGCAACCAGCAGGCCAGCATAAATTGATGATGACTTACTGAAGTTGCACTTTACCTTACCTCTGGAAGCCACGTCTGTATTTTTGTATGCATGTCTTCTGCGTGAACACTTTCTGTACTGTCTCATTCGTTAGTTGAAGAGTTTGTAAAGATCTCTTGTTTTGCCCAGAGTAAATTTATATTGATCAGTGAAATAGCTTTTAAAATTCTTGCCAAATATCTGTATTGTTATTGGAGCTTCTTTCCTTTCCTTTCTTTTCTTTTTCACTCTTTTCCATCTTCTTTATACTGAGTTTGTGATCTCATGGCAGAGTGGTGAGGAGAACCTGGTTGCTTTTTTCTTTTTTCCAGAAGCCATACAAAGAAAATCCCACGCTTCCTCAAATCCTCTGTCTCAGGAATTTGTGTATGAGTTCTGTTAGCTCTAAAGACAGTGATGTCTGAAAGAGTTGAAAGCTAGTTCTTGAAAAATTTCAATCCCACAGTGATCAGTCAGATCCCACAGTGATCAGTCAGATCACTGACTTTGTCCAGTGTTCCTCTAAAATCTCTTCTTGTCACCAGGGGTTTGATGGACTGCATAAAATGTAGGGCTGGAAATTTCTTATGTGGCTTTACCCCAAAGAAACTTTTGCTTTTTTCAACTTAGATTTCCAAGAGAAAGCAGATTATTTTCAGAGCTTCTGGCCCTCTTCACAGGCCATCTGGTCATTCTTCCCCCAAATCGGTAGCTCTTATCTCGGCAAAATAGTGGGAGAGCAGTTAGTCCAAAAAAACCCATATGTTAGGAAGTGTTATGTTGTCAAATATAGCTATTCTAAGAGGTTTTTGTCACTTCTTGTTCAAATCCTGTTATATCAGACGTTTTTTGTGACAAAAGCTATCTTGGTTGTAAGACTTACTTAGTCATGTGTCTGCCCTGTTTGTAAAAACAAAACCCATTATTGTGCAAACTAACTTACACTCGTAAAAGGCCAAGTGAATTCTTGCTCATCTCACGATCTCTTATTTTCAGATGCAATTCCCTAGGCTGAAGACAGTTGTGAAGTTGCATGCCTTATTGGCTAGTGCACATTTTATTGTATTACCTTGAAAGGTGTTGTTGCTTAAATCTTAAGCCAGACGCCTGATCGTAATACTGCTGGACTGTTATCTGTGACCTGCTGTTGTTTCTTGTTTCCCTAAAGCTCCAGCATCATGTCGGGGAATATCGAGCGCAGTTCCCATATCTTCTAAGTTTCCAAGTAATTTAGGAAGTGCCACAATTTTTTTTCTGTTTTAGGAGAATCTAGAAGTGTGTTTCCTAACTCCATATCGCTGCTTTCAGTGAGGTTACAAACCCTCGGGTGGCAGGGGTGGTTCTGTCTGATAACGTGAGACTAAATGAACAAGGAGAACAGGTTTCCGGAGCAAACACAACAAAGTGTTTGGGGATGTAGCATAGATATTGGAAGCTGCTTTCTCTCAGCATAGTGCCAAGAGCAAGTGCTGGATTTAAAGGGTAAAACATCAGCCATTCCCGATTGTGACAGGGTATGTCACCCTGTGTCCCTTAGGGTCCCTGTGTAGCCATAAAGACATAGGCAAAGCACCAAATGCTGCGTTCCGAATCACTTGCATTCATGGGTCTGTGCTGGACCTCTGAAACGAGCCGAGGAGCAGATTGGAGTAGGAATAATTAAACTCGGTACTCATCTTGAATAAATGGGATTTGGAGTAGAAAAAGCCATTTGCTCTCTGCTCAGTGACTGTAGGTGGCCATGCAGCTAACTTTCGGTGATGTGGCGCTACGGAGGCACTGTGTGAGAGGTACACAACCCTTTTACTTCACGACATACTGTTCCATACTGAAGCTTTTACCTTCTTCAGACCTAAATGTCTGTCTTCTTATTTCAAAAATGATTTTTGTTTGATCACTTTGGTCTAAAATCTGCATTCTCCAATTTTTTTTATTCTTCTTTTGAGCCAATAATTTCATTCAGTAAAGTCCTCTAGTTTGCTTCTGCTTCTCCTCTTCTCCTTCCCAAATACACAATGGCTATGTTGGAATTAACTGTTCAGCGGCTGCTGAATGTTTTGGATACAAAAAAAATGCTACTTTTGTACAGTTTCTCTAGTTGCGCTATTAGCTGAACTTAGTAAAAAGTGCTTCATCTCCAAAAGGCGGAGTGGCTTGCACGCCGTAGTCATGCTAAACTGCTAAATTAAATTTATCATGTGGAGTGGCAGAGTAGGAGTGAAGGAAAGGTGGTTTTTTTTTTTTCTCTCAGTATTTATTAAATCAAACAAACACAAGGGACTTATTTGCTAATATTATTAAGGAGAATGAAATTGTGTGGCTGTTGGAATTTTCTTTACTTCTATTTTAGGCCATAATTGAGCTTTGACCACACTGACGTGTGTAGTTTCAGTTCAAGAAATTTAGATCAAAGTGGATTATTTTCTTCATTAGAAATGTGGTTTTAAATTTTGACCTTCAAAAATTTCATAAATAGCTTTTAATAAAGGTATTCATGCTACAAGTTGCAAAAAGGATATAAAGCCAAAATTTGTGTTAACTAAAGAAATTGTTTCTATGTTGATTATAAATGGTTGGGTTTTTTTCAATTCTTGTTATATTGTGCTGTCTTGAATGCTTAACTGCCTTGCAGCGTTAGTTTTTGTGCTGAATCTCTGACGTTAGATAAACAGTAACGTGCTGTCTTTCCACAGCCACTAAAATAAAATATCTTCTAAACAAAGTGCGTGTTGTTGAAAGGCCACTGGGATGCTGTGTTTTGATAAAATCGCTCTTTCTAATGTTCCCCAGTCAGAACGTTTAAGGAACAGCTTGAGCAGTGTTAAGTCTT